CTTGTTGAATCACTCACTCCTGCCATTTCTAATAGCATTAGTTCTCTCTTACCTTTCCTTCTCTGACTCATCTCTTCCCACTGTCTCTGACCTAAGGCCCTAACCAGCCTGCAAAAGCAAGCCATGCCTGATCTCGCTTTCCCTTTTCCAACTCAAACCCATTGCACTGCCAGACTTTTAAAAGTCCTCTCCCCTCGATGGGGGGAAAGGGAGACATACATAATACTTTAAATAAAAAAGAATTAAAGAAAATAAAAATCCGCTCCGCTCCCCTCTTTAAAAAAAAAAAGAGAGAGAGAGATTGAACTGCCCACTGCTAAAAGAACACAAATTTCATCCTCTGTTCATCTTAACTACCTCAATTTGGCCCCATAAGCCTTTCCAATCCATTTTTCCCATATTTCCTGTGTGCACACTTTATTTCTCTGGCTGGCTTCGTGGGCGACTTGCTGTCAGCCCAGAGTTCAAGGTATGTCATCCTACCACCTCCCAGAAGCCTACTCTGGCAAGTTTAAAAGGGCTTTCTTCTCAGAATCAAAGGCATTAAATGCATTCTATCTTGTACTGTTCTCTAATTGTTTTGCTCATAAATGTGGCAACTCTTGTTCTCTGAACAGATAACTCTGACCAAGTTTCCAAAAGTCTTAATATACCTTCCACAGTGCCTAAAATGTATTGTAGTACAATAAAAAATGTAAAAAAAATGCTAAAAAAATCTCAATTCTTACAAAAGATTTTCCCTATGATGCCAATTCACACAGTTAATCATTTCCCCAGAAACTATATTCTGAAATTTATAGGAAGTGAAAATTAGTGATTGAACAGAACATTTTAATACTATAACACACAGAGAACATTATGCTGAGTGAAATAAGCCAGTCAATGAAAGAAAAACACCACATGACCTCACTCATTTATGGATAATAAAGAACCTTATCAACTGATGAACAAAAAGATAGATACAGAGACAGTAAAGCAATAAACAACAGACTGTCAAATTACTTCGGGGAGGGTAGGGAGATATGGGGGAGATAAGAGATCAACTGAAGGACTTGTATGCATGCATATAAGCATAACCAATGGACGCAAAACTCTGGAGAGGGAGGGCATGAATGGGTGTGTGTGTGGGGGGGGTAATGGTAAGATATGTACACATATAATACCTTAATAAAAAAAAAAGGGGGGGGGAGAAAAAAAATACTATAATGCAGGATTATTTCTGTAAAATAACTTAGCATGTATAGTATATTTCAGGCAAATTTCATTTGCCAAAATATCAGGGATTCCTTTAATTAAAAAATAAAGTTACATCTACACTGTGAGCTTTCTTCTTGAACGGAAGCATTGCTGTCTGCATCTGTGGAGCCTGAGCAGGGAGTGTGCTGGTTCAGGGTGAAAGACAAACATTTCTAAGGCTGCTTTTATCCAGTTCCAAGGTTGCAAGTGAGAAATTCTGTTCCTCATACCTCCCTTTTCACAATGTTGAGAGTTACTTTATATTTACTGTTTTTAAGAGAGCTATAGCAATTGCCACACTCTACCTGCTGGGGGAATGCCTTGGTTTACAAAAGCACAAAATGTACTCATACAACACCCTAAGGGTATTCCTACTTCTGGAATCTTGGCTATCATGTCAAATAACGAAACTATTAGGCAACTGTGGTTTATATAAAACTAATATAATAATAATAATAACACATCAAACTGCATGCGGAGTCAACTGGCTAATTCTGAATGATGGCAAATAAAACATGAATGGGGCGAAGAATCACAGACACGATGACACAGTTTCCCAGTGTATTTTCAATTTCACATCTTGCTTTTGTGAAGTTTCTGGGGAAAATAAGAAATAAAAAAGCTCTTATTTGCACCACAGATAACCTAAATTGAAGTATTTATGTGGTGGGAACTTGTAGCAGTTGAGATGCTTTCTTACTCTCTTCTCTCCTAAGTTTTCTAGCAGTAACGATGGGATGTTATTATAATCATGACAAACTTCCAAGAAAATATATGCTTGGGGTTCTTTTAAGGAGGGAGTTTAGATCATTAGATTAATTGAGCTAACAGGGCATCTATATTTTATCCAGAGTTAAGAAGAAAAAAGTGCAGAATATGATCTCTCACTTGAACATTAGTACACTGAAATTTCAATTCACTAAGTTCTAGTGTTTTTATTCTTTTTTAAATATATTTTATTGATTTTTTACAGAGAGGAAAGGAGAGGGATAGAGAGTTAGAAACATCGATGAGAGAGAATCGTTGATTAGCTGCCTCTTGCACACCTCCTACTGGGGATGTGCCCGCAACCCAGGTACATGCCTCTTCACCGGAATCGAACCCGGGATCCTTCAGTCCACAGGCTGACGTTCTATCACTGAGCCAAACCGGTTTTGACTAGTGTTTTTATTCTTATAATTCCCTCACTTATTAAGGAAGCAGTTTTGCCAGTTTATTTCCTTTTAAATAATTCCACCTTTTTACTGATATTTAGGGGGTTAATTTCAATATGGCATAAAGCAGACAATAGATCCATTTGCTTTAGTTTAAGAAGTACCTATTTTGCAAATCTTGAATTTCTCCTCTTTGATATAATCAATCACGTTAAAAAATTTTAAGTTCACCGAGACTTGGTTTGGTTCAGTGGATAGAGCATTGGTCTGCAGACTGAGGGGTCCCAGGTTCTATTCCGGTCAAGGGCATGTACATTGGTTGAGGGCACATCCCTGGTGGAGGGTGTGTGGGAGGCAGCTGGTCGATGTTTCTCTCTCATCGATGTTTCTAGCTCTCTATCCCTCTCCCTTCCTCTGTGAAAAATTATTGAAATATATTTAAAAAAATTTTTTAAGTTCAATGTTTTTATGAGAACCAAATTAATGAAATACCTGATAAAATAATGCAAACCTATAGATGTTGTTTGAATGCAGATATTAACTGAACTTAAATAAGACTTTCAAAATACCATCTGTCTTAAGAAAGTAAGTTTGGCCATTCTGGGCTACGATTCTCAGAACTGATCTAAATTCTTCCTAAGGTCACCAAGCTCATGGTATTAGATAAAAGTTTTAAGATAAAAGACACACTACTATACAAAGTATCTCATCTAGTTAAAAAAAAAAAACACAAAACAAAACACTATAAGTTCGGTTAACTGTATGAATAAGCATTTTATTCATACGCCTTAACTGCATTTTTTTTTTTCCAGGAAATAGTGTGATAGAGCAAACTCAAGAACCTGGGACTCAAATGACAGTTGGGAAAAACTCAGAATCTTGGTTGCCTTTAAAGTTATGTTAATTATCATAGTAAAGTGTCCATTATTTAGAACTCCTTTCCCCCTCCTTTTGGCCACCTACGCACTCCATTCCTCAGCCACAGAAGTAAATATGTCTAAAATTGGCGTTGGTTTTGATAAGCCACGGTGCCGACATCAGCCGGAATTCTGGGACCGTGCAGCAGCGTGAGGCCAGTGAGGTCCCAAAGAGCTCTCCGTGTCACTGCTTGTCGTCACTGATTTGTGGCCAAGATTTGTGCTCCAACTATAGACACCAGTCAAACACAGGTGTTCTGGAATATCTGCTTTGTCAAGTGAAGGGCATGTTGGAAGGGAAAAGGAACTGGTGGGTCTATTTTTCAATACAAGAGATTTAAAACGATAAGTGGTACACAACAATTTTCTTTAAAAAAAAAAAAGGTTTTTTAAAATTGATTTTAGAGAAATAGGAGGGAGAGGGAGAGAGAAACATTGATTGGCTGCCTCCCCCATGCAACCCAGGCATGAGCTCTGACCAGGAATAAAATTAGTGAACTCTAGGAGCATGGGATGATACTCAACCGACTGGCCAGGGCAGTGCCAACGTATTTGACATCACTGAACTGGACACATAACACGGTAAAGTTTACTACAATTTAAAATGTATATTTTACCACCATTGAAAAGGAAAAACGACATGTGTGTGGGTTCTGAAAACCATATCCATGGGTTTCGGAAGTTTTTCGCAACTGTCTAATACATTTCCGGGTCCCATATAAAATCTGTGAAAACTCTGCCAGGTTGTTCTTTCTGCAACAGAGCAACTATTAAGCCATTCTGCTTCAGGCCTCAATAATCCTCCATTCACCAGGAATTCGTAAACAGCACTTACCTGCAGAAATCTCCAGCTAAAAGTAACATAGAGGAAAGTCTGAGGTAAGAGTGGCTGTAAGACAAGGAGCCCGTGGCAACATCATCTGCTGCCCCCAAACTGTGCGCCCCTGTGCGGAGCTGGGAAGCGCAGAAACCTCTACCTCCTTCCCCAGGATTGGCCTCACTCCCAGTCCTGAATAGCTGCCATCAGGGCGAGCAAAGGCTGGTGGGCAGGAGTTACAAGGCCTCCGGGTCCACCGACTCACTGACAGTTCAAGCCCTTCCAGAGGGTCCAGCACCCTGCCTAAGAGCTGGAGCTGGCTGCAGCCACTCTCCGCCTCTAATGGAAAGTGAACCTGTTAGGAGGGCAAGTGCGGGCTGGGCTGGGCTGAGGGAGCGCCCAGAGGCTCCAAAGCTGCAAGAGCTGTGCCTGCCCGAGGTCGCAGGGAGAGGATTTTGCAGACTGAAAAGCGCTTCAACCTGCGAGAGGTCTTTGAAATAAGGGGAAAACCCAGAGCCACAGGCTACAGCTGTCATCACCATTCTGTTTATAATGCACCCAAGAGAAAACTTTATCTCTGCAGGCGCACTGAACTCAAGACCTGGGTGTCCTCTGACTCTCTCCGATTAAAATGTGAGCGTCCTGGTGCTCTCCACCTGCGTATAACCAGAACCTAATGCAATCAATCTATGGTACTTTGATGGTGCTCAACAAATAAGTGAGGGACTCCACTAGGAAGCTGCCACCCAGAAAGCACGGGCAGAAAGATCTCCCCGATGTTCTACAGATGCAAACACACCTCTGCAGGTGCTGTCCCTTGGAGATAGATGTCTCTGTTGCCTGCAGGTGACTTCCCCATACCCGGGCACTACCTACCAGCAACGGTGACCAGCAGACCGACAGCACGCACATGATCCCCATGAGCTGGATGGCCGTCTCGGTGGTGATCCTCCCCCACTGGGCGCTGGACTGCGAGGCCATGGCCTTGGCTCGGCAGCGGGACACCAAGGCCTTGATGGTGGCCAGGTTGCAGGCGAACGTGACGGCGAGCGCCGAGAGCCCCAGGAAGGCAAAGGTGGAGGCGAAGAAGAGGTTGCCCCAGTTTCGCGGGGAGGTCGTCCCGTTGTTGCCGCCGCCCCCTCCCCCGGTGCTGATGAAGCACCACGTCCCGGGCCACTGCACGGTGTACTGGCCCACGCCCAGCACGGGCAGCAGGGCGAAGGCCAGCGCCGCCAGCCACACGCCGAGCAGCACCGCGCGGGTGGCGCGCGTCTTCATGTGGCTCGCGTACCAGTGCGGCGCGCGGATGGCCAGCGCCCGCTCGATGGCCATGGCGCTGGCCACGAAGAGCGAGGACAGGCCGAACACGGTCATGGTCAGGCCGAAGAAAGTGCACAGCCGCCCCGACGGGTCCAGGTGCTCCCAGCGCTGCTCGGACAGGTACACCACGATGACCACGGGGCTGGTGAGCAGCTGCCCCACCAGGTCGGTGAGCGCCAGCCAGCCGATGCACAGCAGGAACGACTTCTTGCGCTTGCTCTCCCGGCGCCGGTAGCTCCGCGACACCAGCAGCATGGCCAGCGCGTTGCCCACGAAGCCGGTGAGGAGCATGGTGATGGGGTACACCACCGACACCGAGCGGCAGTCCTCGCCGGGCTCCGGGGCGCGCGTGAGGTTGCCCCGCGCCTCCGGCGAGCGCCCGGGCGCCCACAGGCCCGGGTAGGAGGAGTGGTTGAGGCGGGTGCAGAAAGGGGCGCCTCCGACGCCCCGGGCTTCCTTCATGTTCGCTTCGAGGGGAGGGTCCGACGGCGCCCGGAGAAAAGCAGCGGCTGCTGGGCGGCGGGGCGCTGGGGGAGGCGGCGGAGGTCTGGAGCGACCCGGGCAGGAGCCGGGGCGGGGCTGTCTGCCATGGTGCGGGCGCAGCCGCCGCCTCACTCACTGGGCTGCATGGACCGCCGCGGCGCCGGGCTTGGTGGTGGCCCAGGTGGCAGCCGCGCCGTCGGCTCCTCCGGGAAGCCGGGAGCTCCCGGGCTCGCCGGGCGCCTCGCCCCTTCTATAAGGACGGGGGGCGGGGCGCCGTGGGTGTGGGCTGGGAGCGGTGGGAGGAGCGGGGACAGCCCGCTGAGCGCGGCTCTCCGCTGCGGAGGGAGGGCGGGCGACCCTGGCCGCGGGAGGTGGGAAAACAGAACCTCCAAGGGGGATCCGGTGGAAATGCGCGCCTTCTGGCCCGACCGGACGCCCTGCCCGCTCTGCGTTCCCTCCTGGCTCTGCCAGAGGAGCGTCCAGGGGGGGCGGGGGGGGGGGGGGGGGGGGGGGGGGGGGGGGGGGGGGGGGGGGGTGCTGAAATGTCTCCCTGGACCTTCCCAGCTCCAGGCTGGTTGCCAAGGCGCATCGACAGCGCCCGCCCTCCTCCTCCACCCACAGGGACCGGTCCTCCCCCTGAACATCTCTTGTATCCCGGGCAAGTGCAACTCACCTGGCCCAAAGTATTCTAGGCAAACCGCACTCCTTTGCAAAGTTGATTGTGAACTTTTTTCACTTCCTGCTTCAGGACTCTGGAATGATCGCGAGCAGGAGCGGCTGCTCTGAGCCCCTGAGGTTGCACTGAAACTTCTAAAACGAGCGGTGCCTTGGGACTCGAGGAGATAGGTACAGGGAAGCAAAATAAAATCTGATGGTCGAATTAAAAAAATGAAGATGTCCCAGCTCCCACCTATAACCCCTCTCCCCTTATAAACAAGCCAGATAAGACAGCCAAGGTGGTTAGGGGCAGGTGGCCGCCTCTTGCATACCGGGGATCCTGCAGTCAAATGCTGTGGGAAATGGGGGTGGCAGGAAGGGGGGGGGGGGGAGCGGGAGAGAGGCATGCTTTCACAAAGCCTGCAACCATTCTTCTAAATTAAGACTGGAAGCTGTATTTGGATGTTTGGAAGGCCTTCGCCTTCAGTGAGTGCCTAGTAATGTGTTTTATTAAGATAATATTTTGTTTTCACAAGTATTGCCTCATTTTATGGGAGATCTCCAAGGTCCCCTTGCTGCTATTATTCCCTTTTATGGAAACCAAGGCTCCATAATGTTAAAATATATGTCCAACGTTTTTTCAGCAATTCAATTCCCGTCTCTTCTCATAGCACAGATGGGTACCATCAACACTCTCAGGTGAAAATCAATGGTAAGACCAGTTGTTGCCAAATCTCAAAAGGGCTTTGTCTGTCCATGAAAAGATTGTAAGAATTATGTACAAACTTCATGTTTCCTCATAGTTAAGAAAATTAGACCTAATCAGATAGAACTATGACCATGATTCAGACTTCAAATCGACTTTTTTATTTTTTTGGTTTGAATTTCCTTATTAAGGTATCACATATTTGTCCTCATCCCCTCATTCCTATCCAAAACCCCTCCCCACGCATGCCCTCACCCCTTCAGATCAACTTTTAGAGTTGATCAGTTTGTCATTTCTAGGTGGTATCCTTGGAAAATGTAAATAAGTGGTAGATTATGAGAATGGAATATGTATTATTTTTTTCTAAATGTTATTCTAAAAGGATACATTTTAAAATATATATTTTATTAATTTTTTAGAGAGGGTTAGAAACATCAATGAGAAACATCTGATCAGCTGCCTCCTGCACACCCCCTATTGGGTATGTGCCTGCAACCAAGGTACATGCCCTTGACCTGAAATGAACCTGGGACCTTTTAGTCCGCAGGCTGAAGCTCTACCCACTGAGCAAAACCAGTTAGGGCTCTCCTGCCTTTTTTTTCTGTGCTATTTTCATACTGGGAGTTTGAAAAAATATCTTTATAAGATGCTATATTTTTTTAAAGGAGAAAAGGTAAAACATAACTTAAAACGCCATTTTAACATGAGTTAATCCCATTACTAATTTTGTGATTTGCTATCATATGAAAAATTTCTTAAACTTTCCAATTTTATTTCTTTGTAACGTCACATTTCTTAGAACAATAGTAAGGGGGGAAAAATAGCGAAGTGGCTTACTTTTTAAATGTTCACTAAATTTTTGTCTTACTACTTTGAATTATTTTTAACCCCCAGATTAGGAAAGTATTTTTCTAGAATGCCATTTGAAAAATAAAATGTTTGATGGCATTCTTAGATATACACTTTATCCAAAGAAAGTACACATTAAAATTTTTGGCAATAAATTTCTAGTGTAATTATATATTTAAAAAACATAAGATCTTTTCATGATTTATATAGCTAAGAAAGCAAAGCTGAATTATCATTTTATTTATGAATGTGACTTTAAAATTTTACTCTCTCAACAAAATTGGAAAAGATATAGCCACCGAAAATAGGTTTATGGTTGTCAGAGGGAACGGAAGTTGGGGTGCTGGGTGAAAGAGATAAAGGGATTAGAAGTGCAATCCCTTTACAAATTGATAGCTAAAAAATAATGGCAGGGACATAAAGTTCAGCATAGGAAACAAAGTCAATAATATTGCAATGACTATGTGTGGTGCCAGGTGGGCACTAGAAATCTTAGATGGAATACTTTGTAAAGTTTATGATTATCTAACCACTATGCTATATACCTGAAACTATTACAAAATAATGTTAAATAAAAACTGTAATTTAAAAATGTTTTAAAGTTCTTAACCCCTTTACTCACCTCTACACTAATGCACCATTAGATCTCTTGTGTAACACTTTCCTTCTTTCAATTTTTGTCTGTTTTGTAACTATTCACATTGCAAAACTGATTTGGGGGATCTGAGGATTCACATAAATAGGACACTGGCAGTTGGATTGTCTGGCATCTTTTTTTTTAAATATATATTTTATTGGTTTTATACAAAGAGGAAGAGGAAAGTCAGAAACATCGATCAGCCGCCTCTTGCACACCCCCTACTGGGGATGTGCCCGCAATGTCTGGCATCTTTTAAAAAACAAACTGATTTTAAAGAGACAGAAAACATCTGTGTGAAAGAGAAACATCTATAGGCTGGTGCTGCTTCTCACTTTGACTGGGAACCAACCAGGGACTGAACCCGCAACCTGAATATATGCCTGGACCCACAACCTAGCTACCAGGCCAGTTGCCTGTTTGGTACTTTCTGATGTTAGAGCAGAAAAAATATAAATTTCTGAATTTTGGTCACCAGCACCCTCTAGTGACCAAAAGTTCTAATAACAATTTTTGAAAGACACATTTTGCTTAAGAAACCTGATAGCTTTCTTAGGGATCTATTGACTTAACTCTGGTTCTTTCGTTTTCCTTTGAGTGCACAAACTGGCATGTCTGCTTAATTGATAAACCAGTGGAGGATTAAAATTATAGTCAGATAATGAAATAGCAAGTTCAAATATTTTTTAAAGATTTAAAGTATATATTCACACTAGAGGCCTGGTGCACAAAATTCATACACTTGAGGGAAGGGGTGGGGTCCCTCAGCCCAGCCTTCACTCTCTCCAATCTGGAACTGCCTGGGGGGGACATCTGACTGGCAGTCAGATATCCCTCTCACAATCTGGGACTGTTGACTACCAACTGCTTGCCTGCCTGCCTCCCTGCCAACCTGATCACTCCCAACCACTCCCATCAGCCTGATCAACATCTAACTGCTCCCCTGATGACCTGATCACCACCAACTGCACTCCCCTGGCAGATATCTTGTGACCACATGGGGGCAGCCATCTTGTGTGAGGGTGTAATTTCAACTTGAATATTCTCTATTATATAAGAAGATATATATTTTAACTAAATTTTTACTATAGAAAGGACTTTAATCCACAAATTTAATTGTATTACTCCTGCATCTTACATTTTAAAATTTATAACTATTAATATTGCTTGAGCTATTTACTTCTACTGGATTTCTATTAAGAAATGTTAACATAGCCCTAGCTGGTCTGGCTCAGTGGATAGACCATCAGCCTATGGACTGAAGGGTCCCAGACCCAATTCCAATCAAAGGCACATGCTGGGGTTGTGGGTTTGATCCCCAGTAGGAGTGCAGGAGGCAGCAGGTCAATGACTCTCATCACTGATGTTTTCTATCCCTCTCTCCTCCCCCCTTCCTCTCTGATATCAATGAAAATGTACGTATATATTAAGACTCCCTTGTTAAACATTACCTGACAGGCTGTTCTAAGGGCTACGACTACTAGGTAAAGACATGGTCTATCAAGAAATTCACCTAGCCGAAACCAGTTTGGCTCAGTGTAGAGCGTTGGTCTGCAGACTGAAAGGTCCCAGGTTCGATTCTGGTCAATGGCACGTACATTGGTTGCAGGCACATCCCCGGTAGGGGGTGTGAAAGAGGCAGCTGGTCGATGTTTCTCTCATTGACGTTTCTAGCTCTCTCCCCTTTCCTCTCTGTAAAATATCAATAAAATATATTTTAAAAATTCACCTAACTCCTATAACTCAGAAATACCAGGGATGGCATTCTTAGTATTCCCAATTGAGTCATGAAGGCCAAGTGTGAAAGGGACAACAGTAGAGCGTGTGCAGGGCATTTAAGTAACAGGAAACTTGTACAAAAATGAAAGTCTATCTCAGGTAGTTCATGTGTGGCCAAGTATATTAGATTTGGAGTTTGGGAGGATGGGATGGCGAGATGTCAGTACTCAAAAAAATAAACATGACCTTTTTATGACATATAGATTGTACTTTAATCCTGAAAGCCATGGAAAGACACTGAAATGACAAACAGAACTGATAAGTTAAAAAGACCATTTTGGTACCAATGTTTGGTGAAATATTAGCAATTACTATGGAAAACCTATTTGCCAGAAAAAGCTGGAGGCCAGATGACCATTGAGGAGGCAAGTGTAATAGCTTAGAAACCAAAGTAGTGTGGAGCAGTGTGGTTTTGAGGCTTGGAGGTAGTAGAACTATTAATTCTAAGTAAATCAGATTTGGTTTAGAGTAGGGAAGCAATAGAGAATCAGGATTCCTTCCTATTGACTGGTCACCCCAATTAGAAAGACAAAGAGGAAAGAAAATAAAACTAAAATTCCAAAGTTACTGATAATGCTGTTTATTGATATGAATATAATACTGCTTTTGGTGGACAGTGGGAGAATTTAGGTATGGTGAAACTGACACTTATTTAACGGGAGACAGATACACAGTGGGTAGAGATATGTATTTGATGCTGTAAAAAGGAATAAGTAGGAAATAAAATTTGAGTATTGGTATTATATGAAACATCTGAAGACATGAGCAGAGGGTAAAATAACAGTCAATATTTGTTATATACTTATGTGCCAAACATAAAGAACATGACTGGGGTCAGAGCTATCATGAAAAATTCAAAGCAGGTACTTAACTCTAGGGGAAAATATAGAAATTACTACTGCCAATTCTAAACTGGATCACACCCATTAAAGCAAACATTACTAGTACTTCATATTACATTCAAGTTGGAGGTACTAAGCCTTTGAGATGACTCCACTAACAGGCTACAGATGTTTCATTTTTAGAGATATTGTAAAGGTCTTTACCTCATTAGTTTCCATCAGTGTTCAATGTGGTACAGTTTAATTCAGACAGTATTACGAATTCCTCTTTTTCCAAGGTTTCCCATAGCCAGTTATTTTCAGTCCTCTAAAGATGTGATCAAATCTTAAACCCTCACAAATTAGCTCACCTTATTAATCTATAAGGTTTCATTCAGGCAAAATTGATTCTTCCCATTTTACTAGTTGTTTTTCCCTACCACAAAAAATTCTATGGAATGTTCTTCCACTGGATTCAATTAATAGGAAAGGGGTTGTCTTATACATTTTTAGCTTTAAATCCAGGTGTTTTACTTGTGTAATGTTCAATAGCTTTCTTCATAATCTTCTTCTTAGATGTATTTTAATACCTCATCAAAGTTTTTGTGAATTTATCTGGTTATTTTATTTTTCTTATACTAGTACCTTTTATTTTGATAAAATATAGACATTTAGGAACTATTACTAATTACACATTTATCTTCTGTTTCTGTGTTTAATGCTACAACACCCCATATATCCTGGGTAAGCACCATTGTGCTAGTGTGGCTGGGGGAAAAAATCATAATGTGTTTACTGGTCACTGTGACTACAAACTTAGCTCTAATGCTACATGGATCCATTCCTCCTGTTAATCCAACTGTCAAGGCCCCTATTAAAAGTTGACACCACCGCCACCACATTGCTAGATCCCATTCCCTTAAGTATTTGATGAACCTCTTTTACACTTCTTCCTTCTCTCCATCATTTACTTTCTGTTCTATTGGAGTACGGAGGATTGTCAAAGACACAGGAGCCAACCTGAAAAAATTCCCAATGGCTCAAGATGGAACAATTTGAACCATAAACACTGCATTGGACTATGACCTAAAGTCTAAAATAAATAAATATGCATGAGTCTATGCTGATATAAAGCAGCAGTCAAAACTTTCTTACGGAAGAATCCAAATTATGAAGACAGCCTTCCCCCATAACAGACAGCATTTAATAGTGCCACTCCCATCCGTACGCTGAAGGTGGGCTATACTTAATGATTTGCTACCAAAGGAGTGGGAGTAGGTTAAGAAACTAACTACAATAGTGTATTAGAGCAATTCCTGCCTTAACCAAGTGACGAAGGTTAATGTCTCTCCAAAGATGTCATATGGATACCATATAACTCTGGTATGATGTGTTAAGAGCACTTTTCCTCTATGGTATTCATATTCCAAAAAACCATATCCTCAGTCTAATAACAAGGAAATATATGGACAACCTTAAAATGAGAGGACATTTATAGGATATCCAGTCACTATTCCTCAAAATTGTCAGTCATCAAAAGCAAAAAAAAAAAAAAAAGTCAGACCAGAGAGGAAAATGTGGCACCTGGATTGGATCTAAGAGCAAAGTAATGAAAAAATGGTAAAATTCAAATAAAATCTGACAGTAATAATATACCAATGCTGCTTTCTTAGTTTTGACAAAAATATGTGGTAATGTCTTGATGATGGTAGAAATTGGATGGGGAGTTTATAGAAACTCTATAATCTTCACAACTTTTCTATAAATTTAAGGTATTCCACAAACTGAACATGTCTCCTATCTTCCTATGCATGACTGATATTATCACCTTCTTATAAAATCACTAGATTAAAAAAACAACTGACCATTTGGCTTAACATTATTTTCTCAAAAAGGTTATTTGGTTACTATAGGTAATACTGAATTTTGCCATCAGATTTGGGGGTTAAATCCCCATTCAGCCACACCTGAGGCTCCCCTGGATAAGTTTTTAAGCTGTGTAATCCTCCTTTATGTTAAATGGGACATATTATGTAAGGGTGACAGAGAAAATTAAATAATACCTGTAAACCACTTATTACATACCTTAAACTGACTTTTAGTTACCTACCTTCTTACCAACATCTATAAGACATTCTATGAATGCCACATAGCAAAAGGAGATGAGACAGGAAACTTTTTTGAGACAAGACTTATTTTATCTTGATAAATGTGCCTAGAGATGGCCTTACAATTAGGACTTACTCTGTACTTGGTGAAAGGACTGCAAATAGAAACTTAAAATAACTTAGCAGTTAAAAAGAACAGTTATTGAGTGCAATAAAGTGAGTTTTAAAAGTGATTCAGAGCCTGACCAGCATGGCTCAGTTGTTGAGCATCGATCTAGGAGCCAGGTCACAGGCTCTGTTCCCAGTCAGGTCATATGCTTAGGTTTTGGGCTCGATCACCAGGGTGGGGCATGCAGGAGGCAGCTGATCAGTGATTCTCTCTTATCATTGATGTTTCTCTCTTTCTCCATCTCTGGGGGAAAAAAAAGGTAATTCAGGAAGCATGCTATGGTATGCTATGAAAAAGATATGTAGTGTTCTGGCAGAAAGTATTAAACTAATTTAAAATCTACATTAAAAAGTCTCAAAAATGTTCGTGTATCCAAAGTGTTAGTGTTAATGCTTTGTAATGTTTTAAACCAAGCACTCTTATATGAAAATAAGATGACATTACATACAGGGTAAGTGAACATAAAAATGTTTAAAATGCATGATAAGAAGTAATAAACAAGACTACAAACAGCTTTAAAAATGAACATTAAATCAGCATTTAAAAATTCTAATTTATTTCTAACAAACACCACTTGATGCTTGACTCACAAGCTTTATTTACATTTGTCTACAGCATCATTTCCTTATGGACTACTACAGCTTTGTTAAACCAAATGAAATCATAATCATCTGAATTGTCTGTAAACAACTATTAGCTAAATTTATAATCTTGCATTTACTTAGTACAGCCAAAGTTTAAATACAGAAAGCACAAGAATAAACCAATAGTAACATGTAGAATCTAAAAGATCATTTGGGCATTTTAGGAGGTGGACTTTCAAGAAGTCTGAGGCACAATTACAAGAGAGAAAAGTTCTTGTGCAAACTACAGTAAATGTAGGAAACAAAATTAAGACAAAAAAATAAGGGGCAAGTTCACTGTAAAAATATTATCAAAATATTTCTACATAAGATTTGATTTTATCTTTAGATCAAGTGAAGAGAAAAATCACTTATTTTAAAATAAAGAAACAAATATAATTTTGTTTGGTCTGTCTATAAAATACTTTAAAGCATTTTAGTTTTTAATTGCAGCAGACATTACTGTTCAAAAAAAAAACCCCCCCAAAACAGAACAATAATGGGTATTGATCCCCATGACAAAAAGTCCTCAAGCACAACTGCTGATTTTCCTTAGCATACTTACCTTGCATTGTCACTGAAGATACTGTTGAGAGAAACCTTTTGTTTTTAAACCAAAAGACACCATAAAGCTCGTGACCATATTTCAATTTTGAGAAATAAAACAAACTCAAAGTATTTTAAGCCATAAGTAATTTCAAGTGAACAGGTACCATTATTTCTGCTTGTTTCGTGCAGAAATAAATATTCATTTATTACTCAAGAAAATTTTATCAAGTGTTTAAAGTTAAACACCTCACAGCAAAGATTTGCTTAAATTAATAATGTCTTTGTTGGTCTTTCACCCAAAGAGAACTATATTTCAGAAGCTTTCTTCATTAACTATAATTTAGCTTTGTCTAACCAATCATGTGTGATAAATGGATTTTTTAAAGACATCACACAAGCTTCTTAAAGTATTAAGATAAACATTTGAAATAAGATGTTTTTCTCATCAGACAACCATATCAGATTAGAAATGTACTACGTATTAGATATTCTTGCTCAAAATTATGTCAGAGAGTGAGAAATATGGAACATCTTACTCCTACAATTCACAAGATTTTTTTGCATTAAATGTGGTGCAAAAAGCAAAATTGAATAAAAGACAGACAATGATTCTAAGGCACCCTTAACATAGGGAACTTAAGATTGTTTCTAGTTGGCTGTTTTACAATTAGTTTAATTTTTTTCTGAGAAGAATCACTTTGACATAGGTTACATAAAGAGGCTGACTCCTTTTCTCAGATTAACATAAACAGACTTTTTCCAACTACTTCACCACAGTCTTGCCTCTATACCCAAAGTTCAGGCAAGCCTAAGGTAAAAGTCAGTAAACAATTCCTATTTGGAAATGAAAAAAACATGAGTTCAAATTAGGAAACAAAGTAAAAACAAAAAGAAACAAAGTTCTTTGTTATAGATGAGATGGTTTAAAGAAAATAGCTGTAAATAAAGAATGATAAATAGAGCAACTATTTTGGGACATTATGGCTTAAAATACTATTTACTTTTAATTTCACAAATAAACACAGCTGTATTGTTCTGAAAAGCAATGAAAGGCATGCACCTCTACTAGAAGACTTAGCACTTTTGACTAAGTAAGACACCAACTTCTTAAAAAATATGCTTCATGCACTGTACTGGATTTTTTTTTTTTTTTTTTAAGATGTAAATTTTAATACATTATTTCTTTTTTGAACTTGAACGGGAACCAGAATGGGATGATCCAGAAGATGACCTGTGGTGCCTGTAAGATATAATAGAGAAAGCAGGTAGTCTTAATAAGCTTGAGTTGGACATAATCATTCACTCATAAGACTTTGAGAACATACAAAAATCAAACCTAATTATACTAGAAAAAAATTAATTAAAATCTAAGACATAAACTTATACACATAAAATCATAGTGTTCAGACTTTGGATGTGAGCCCAGGAACAGTATAATTTAAAATTCTCTAAAATTAAAAAAAAAATCTCTCATTCCAAGATATAGCCACCTCTCAATTATTTAAGGTAAGGAAAAAAAGCCTTGCAAAAACATGTAAAAATACAGGTAATATTCAACAAAGACATACAAACTTGATGAGAGAGTAACTAAAATAATCTCTGATAACATTGTAGATAGTGCCAGGACCGGTTTGGCTCAATGGATAGAGCGTTGGCTTGGGGACTGAAGGGTCCCGGGTTCGATTCCAGTCAAGGGCATGTACCCTGGTTGCGGGCATATCCTCAGTAGGGGGTGTGCAAGAGGCAGCTGATCAATGACTCTCTCATTGATGTTTCTAACTCTCATTTCCTCTCTGTACAAAAATCAATAAAATATATTAAAAAACAAAACAACCAAAAATAAAAAACACTGTAGTGTGGTAAATCTATATGTAAATCAGATACAGCAAGGTTTCTGACTGTGTATGAGAATATATATTGATAAATAACCACATTTTGGAAATCAAGGTCTCACAAGATGATTATACAACTAGTTAAATGGTTACATTCATGCAGCTAATATGAATAAGTCAATATATCAACCTGGGTAAAGTAGTGGTGTTCCGAGGGGTTGGCCCTGGACTCAGGGTTGTTTAGTGTTTTCACCAATCACCTGGCTTATGGAATAGAGAACATGTTCATTAAGTTTAGATGACAACAAACTAGGGGGATTTTATGTGGCTAAAATAAAAATTTGCAGAAGTATCAAGAAATCAACAGAATGAATTTCACTCAAGTATGGAGTTATTTTCTTACAAACCCCCCACCCCCCAAAACAAAACAAAACAAAACAAAATCAAACCACCAAATGCAGAGAAAGAAGACTAGCTGTGTGTAACCTTGTATCTAAATCTCAAAATGTGAAGAAGCAAAACTAATCATTCTGTACAAATAGAAATCATGAGGCATCCTACCACTAAACCCAGCAATCAGACTTTACCTAATCATTACTTTCACAAGAATAAGAAAAATTTTGCCAAGGATACAAAGAAAGCCATTAAATTGACTGTATAATTAGATGTTGAGAATCAAGAGGAAAGTTAATTAATTAGCCTGTTGTAGGAAAGGCTGACAGATAACAAGCTCTCCAAACTAAAAAATGTCCACATAGATAACATAATCAAGTAACGGTCTTTCTCAAAAAAAAAAAAAAAAGGTGTGTGTGTGGGGGAATGGATTTGAATTGCGGATTTGTACTGCAAGATGAAAAATGTATTAACTACAAGAACAATTTCCTTATAAAGAGTATGAAACAATTTGCTGTGAAAATGCATTTACACATATTTAAATGAGGACAGATTCCCAATGATCTAGAATAATTATTTTTTCTAGATGCCCTAAAAACTAATTTCTAATATTTAATGTAAAATTTATAATATCAATTAAATACATGTAAAATCAACTAAATTACTTCAACACACAGCTTTTAAATTAAAATTTTAAGACAGAAATAACCAAGAGTTGGCTATAATTATATATGAAAATAAGTATTTAAGTAATAAAATGAACCGATAGAAGAGTGGCTTGATCTACAACTTTTTCTAAATAACCTGATGAAAGCACAAAGGTAAACAAAGTAATTAATGTTTTTTGAAGTTTAAAGTTGAAAAGTGCAAAGCATAATTTAAAGTTGGACTAAAGGAGATTATAAAAATTAATCCTTGACTAGAAGTTAATTAAACACACTTAAGAACACCCATTCTTATTTCTACAGAAACCCAAACCTTTCGGGTGACCGTGATCTTGTTCGTCTTTTTTTGCGATCACCAGATGAAGATCTAGAACGACTTCTCTTTCTGTTCCTCTCAGGAGAAGATGATGAACTTGAATAAGATCTTTTTCGTGGGGAAGAAGAGCCCCTGTGGGATCTGGAGCTGGATCTTCATTGATTGAGAAACAAATCAAACATTTCATTAAAAGAAGAAATGAAGCAGATGATTTAGTTAAAAGCTCCAAAAACAAACAGGATTTATAACTGAAAATTTTATGAGAATAAATACTTACTGCTTAACCAACAGAAGACTTCTGGTTCAACCATAAAAATAATTCTATTTAAATCCATTTACTTTAATCTCATCTCTTTATAAAATTGTAAGATAAGTGTTCACTACTTATGATTAACAACCAGCCCAATATATTAAAGTAGAATTTTGTATTATTTTTTTAAAACGTAAGGCTTTCATTTTAAAGTATACATAAATAGCAAAACCAACAGGTAAACTGTGCCTTTACACACTTTGTCTAGAAAATATATCCTTCCATTTGGAGAAAAATATGTATCAGATATACACAACCTTCTGAGAAAAGTAAACATAACAATTCCTTGAGGAATTATAAAACTTATTAGTTAAGTTGCTATAGAAAAAGCAGGGAAAGGGGAAAGAAGCGAGAAAAACAGCAACTATTAAACTGCTAAATATTCAAAGAAAAATAAAATGAATTACTTTAAAACTTTATATCAGCAGTATTTATTTTTATGAAGGTCCACTGTTCATGAAATATGAAGTGTTGACATTCACATGTTTTAGGTAGTGGTAAACATGCAAATGTTTAAATGCAATTTTTTCTTCATTTACATATTTTGGTTGAAGTATTTTAGCTCAAACTTCCCAAAAAATTCACCTTTGGGCTTAACATAAACTTAGAAAGCCCAAAAGGAGAATTCTTTGGAAAGTTATAAGCAATGAAAAAATGTTTGGAAAGAATATAAAGGCTGTTCTGTAAACCTTATTACAGTGCTTCCCAAAGGGAAGTAGGAATTATCTTCACCTATGAAGCACTCAAAAGACTAAAACAATGGTAAATATACATCATCACCACAGTAACAACAATAAACTCATTTGCTCTCTTTTTGTATTGGAGTAATACAAATGTGCATATCATTCTTTTCTTTTTAATGTTGTAAACTGTTGTGGCCCTTTAATGCTATAAACTTGGCTCTAATAAGCTATTATGCCATTATTTTACCAAAGGAGCTACCACTAAACTTCAGTGTAAAGTTCCACACAAGTGGAATTTTTTGTATTCCTTATTAATGTTAGATGCCATTACTAGGTCAATAAATTAACTTAAAAATGAAATGCAGTATATTTTGACAATGTTTAGAAAAATTAGTGTCTCATGTGCTTTTTTATTAATCGTATAACTAAATGCAACTTAGAATTAACAATAATATTACTTAAGACCACACACTACTTAGACTAACCAACCAACTTCTTGATTTAGTTTGTGGAATTTAAGAGGAGTGTCTCTGCTCTCACATACTGCTTGCTTGTAATAGTCTATGTAATATTACAGAGAAATGAAAATAAGTATAAGACCCTCCCCCCAGAAACTTTATCTGATATAAATAACAAAATCATTTCAGTAAATACTGAAACAATTACCTTGTAAAACAAAATATGCTTTGGGACGATCTTATTTTTCTTCCTTTTAAAAATGAAAGGAAAAAAAGCCCTGGCCAGTGTTCCTGTATACCGGAAGTGTCATAGGTTTGAATCTGGTCAAGGGCACATACGTGGGCTGCAGGTTCCTGCCCCATTCAGGGTGAATGTGGGAAGGTGTAGGGGTGTAGGTGTGTGTTTGTGTCTCCTTCCCCCTTCTCTCTCCCTTCCAATCTCTAAAAATCAAAGGTGAAAATATCCTCCAGTGAGGATTAACAAAAAACAAAAAGAATAAACATTTCCTTTTTATTTGCATATATCTCATTTTATTTGAACTACTACTGCAAACATAACTTTTGAGATATTTGATAGTAAGACTTGGCTCTATCTTCCTACTCATCACATTTAGCCCAGATAACAAACCTTGCATAATGCAAAATAACCTTAATTCAATCATGGGAATGTCTTGGCACACTGCAGGCAATGGAAACATCTCATGGTGAGAAAATTAAGCCAAGGCAAGTGCATTAGCTTTCTAAAGCTAAAATAAAATTGACAAGTAGAAGCAAAATAAAGAGAAAAAAAGCAGCAACACCTTCTGCAGCCTTTAAATACTTTTTCCTCTCTGCTTTACAGAGAGATGCTACCTCATTCACCTTGATTTCGACCCACGAGATCTCGAATGTTCTCTGGAACTGGAACGAGATCTTGACTGCGAACTGGAAGAACTTCCTGAACGGGACCTGGAACAACATGGAAGAATTTTTTTTTCCAGGTCCACTTAATTGAACTTTGTGACATGAACACTGGGAGAAAGATATGCATTAGAATTCATTTTCATGTAAAAGGACAACTATTTGATATATATTTTCATAACACAATTATTTTAAAGTAACTTTTTGTTTTGACATTCATGCAAAAACTTAAAAGATATAGGTAATTTTTTGAAAATAATCAACTATCACTTTTCAAGTACAACAACATTACTCTAAATATTACTCAAGATTGTACAAATTAAAGCATTTTATTAATACTGAATACTTTACATTTACAATATTTAAAAGTAACAGGACTTAACATACCCAAGAATTCGAATTTTACAGTTTATGTTTAACTAACTCTCTGGAATATCTATTAATTTTTCTTATAAAATTCCTTCCATTTCCATGTTCACTATTTAGTATGAAGCTTTAAATGTTGACTTGCGTATGTTTGTTTAACCCTATTTTTCTTCTTGCTCAAATGTTAGAGAATTAAAGTTAAATATATTAACAACCCTGTCATTGTTTTGGGTAATTATATTATTGAAAAATGACACAGGGGAGATATGGTCCACTTAAAATTCAGAAGTCACAACAGAAGTAAAATTCAGTACTAATCTTACAGCTTTAATTTGTTCCTTAAAATAGTCTGCAGCAAAAGAATGTAACATTATCATCTTAAAATTACATTTAGAATCAATCGCTTTTAAGCTTTAACTAGTTAAGTATTCAATTAGCTAATAATTTTTCCTAAATACATTAAACATTCATTGCGTGTTGATTAACTTAAACTATGAATAAGAATTTTTCAAGGGAACAGTTTATACAAAGCACTGATTTTTCTCATGTAAAATTTTATTTTTATTATCGACTACTCAATCAGGAAATATTTACTAAAGTTTTACATTACTAATAAAACAATATTCAAGTACACCACCAATTGACTCCTTTTACTTATTCCTGAACATCTCAAAATTAATAGAACTTAAATGACTGAAATTTTCTCCTTTATTCAGAATACCTATAACAAGTAAATTATCTAAGCCCATTGTAAAATAAGCAAATACTTAATTAAGGCCTAGAATATTTCTATTTTAGCCTTTACCAGTGAAAACAAATATCCCACTTTACTTAAAAATTTCTAAATATAAACTGTATAGGTAGATAATACACTTTATGTAATGATTTAATTAGATCTTTAAAGTCTATTTTAATAAAAAGTCTGGAGATAAATGGAATGAGGAAGTTTCATATTAAAATTTGCATTTCTGAAAATACTGGACAGTAACTTCAAGGCACTAAAAAAATATTTTTTACAAGGTGACTTGAACGAAATCTCTGAAATAAAAGGAAAACTTATTCAGTCAATAAAAACAAAATTTATAAATAAAGAAGTTAGATACTGACATTTTGACTGATGTTACCCTTGACCTGTACCCGTTTACCTGGACCTAGACCTTGAACTTGAGGGGGAGGATGAGCGTGATGAAGATCGTGAATGTGAAGATCGAGACTTTGAGCGACTTCGTCTATTAGATTTCTTTTTATTACTATCTTCTTCTTCACTGGCATCAAGATTATATTTTGAAAGATCAGCATCATCTTCATCCTCATCCTAACAAAAATTCAGAGTCAATTATATTTGACATTTAGATATTAATGCTATCTAATAGGGATGATGAACAGTTCTATGTATTGCACATCACCATATGGACATACATCACAAATATCTCAGCAAATTCACTCTTGAACTAAGCAGACTTAACTACCGTGTTTCCCCGAAAATAAGACATCCTCTGAAAATAAGACCTACTTACAGGTTTCCTTCTGAGTGAAATATAAGGCATCCCCCGAAAATAAGGCCCCCCCAGGCTAAACATGAGAGATTTGGTCCAGTGATTCTGAAAGAAATGGAGTCACAAGAAATTCACCAGGAAATTCAGAAGTTGCATTGTTATGATGATGTTCCAGAAGATGACATGATTGTCATTGAATAAATGAGTAAATTCTTGATACTGTAGAATTCAGTTTGTCTGGTTTGTGTTGACAACTACTGTACTACCATACCCTATACAGGTAATAAATTTCCTTTATTTTCATTTAACAATAAATGTGTGCCGTATTCTTCTTCATGGAAAAATAAGACATCCCCTGAAAGTAAGACCTAGTGCATCTTTGGGAGCAAAAATTAATATAAGACAGTCTTATTTTCGGGGAAACAGGGTATCTCAAATATTTCAAAGAAGTAAACCTCATAGTACTTATTTCCTCTTTTTTTGTCATAAAGTAGTACCAAATAAAATGTCAAGAATTTTTAATTTTACTTATGAAAGTCATTGAATCCATATCCCTTACTCTTCTTTCTCTACTGATAGATAATACAGTAACCTTTTATGTGATCTAATTCAGACAATCTATTCTGCCTCCCCAATTATCTCAATGTTCAAGTTGACCCTTGAACAATGCAGAGGTTAGAGACACCGGTGCATAATATTTGACTCCCTTAAAACCTAAGCAGTAACACCCTATGGACCGACAGCCTTGCAGAAAACAGTTAATTAACACATTTTATTCAGTATATGTATTACATACTGTATTCTTACAATAAATAAATCTAGAGAAAATAAGAACATCACAAAAAAAAGAAATACATTATAATACATGTATAAAACAACACAGAAAAACAAATCTGTGTCTAAGTAGATTTGCACATTCAAACCCGTGTTGTTCAACAGTCTGTGTATACTGACACCCATCACTCTGAAATACAGGTCAGATACTTTGTTTCTTAAAAACTTTCATTTGTTTAGTTGTATTCAAGGGCCTCTTATGATCTTTATCTAGACCTATAATCCAACCATAAAACTTTACACTCAGGCCCACAGAACAAACGCCAGACCTGATATGGTCGCTGCCATCCCACATTCTTCCCTTTGCTCTAATCACACTAGTCTACGTTGATTTTTAAAAAATGTTAGTGTCTTGTTTCCTATTCAGGGAACCTTTATTTACTTTAGTTCCACTAAAAGAAGGGTGTTTCTGTCTCAGTCATTATTGTACTTCCAGAGCCAGAATAGTTCTTGGCAGAGTGAAAGCTTAAAACTTTTGTGAGAATAAATTGAGTATACAGCCAGAACATATCTTCGCCACAGGCCAAAGGTAATAAAAAACATTCATGTTATGTCATAGCTGAAATACAAAGGAGAAAAAAGGAAATCACTTACCTCATCCAATTTATATTTAGAAAGATCTTCATCCTCATCCTCTTCTTCTCCCTCAGATTCTTTATCTTCAACTTCCTTTAAAATAGATGCTGGACCAACTGCCTTCCCTCTGTATTTTTTCTTTTTACGTCCGAACTAGAGAAAAATTTCATAATATTTGTCAGCTAAAAATCTATTAACACTTTTTTCTAAAAAAGAAATTTGTACGTATTTAAATTAATATTTTAGGTCCATTATGTCAATTATAGTCAATTATGATTTCCTACAATGTAAGTTTTTGTAAGACTCAAAATGTAGTTACAAAAATAAGATACATTTATATTTTTCCTTTGGACTTAAGATACTTTCTAATTTGTATTCAAACTGCACACTAATGCATAGCTTATTACCTCATCATATTCGCCATCAGATTCTTCTCTTTCTATATATTCAACATTTTCTCTTTCATTAAAACCGCCACCATATCCTAAAATAAGAAGTGCATAAATTGTTATCCTGACAATTCATTAAAATAGGAAAATAAAAAAACTCCTCAAAATTGTCTCCAAGCAATAGAAAAAAGAAAAATCTTACCAATGAGATTTGCTTGTGCATATATAATACTAGTATTTTAAAAAGCATTTAAAAACACACACGCTACAAGGTAAGTCTCAATGTGAGATACTTAGAGGTTAGGAAGTCCTGTCACTACACTTCCATCTTCTCAAAACTCTGGTATAACCAAGTTTAAAAAGTAAAAAGGACTCTTCTTTGTAGTTTAGCGTAATTTAATTCTTCAGGTGAATTGGCCTAAACAAGAATCAAGAATCAAATTTCACTGTTTTCCAATCGCAGATATTCTGGAGTTTTGATAAATTGAAATTTTGCTGGGCTAAAATTACAAATTACACCAGGCAAAATAATGGAGATACAAACTGCTTTTAATGAATACAGAGGTAAAAGTTACTGAAGGTTCTCTAAGCAGCCAATTAACTTTTGAACTGAAAATATTCTATTAAAAATTAATCAAGATCAGCAAACCATTATTCTTTAATGTCACAATTAACACCTACAATTAGACGGTCTTCCCCCAGGAACCAGAAAAAAATGTTAAACTTGCGAACAAATACTTTTAACTTGGAATTTGGAACTTTAAAACTATCAAACATGGGCATTAAAAGAATAATCATTATCCTATTATCATTTCATTAACTGCCATGAATAGTGGAACGGCTCTGTTTTAATAGAATAGCATAAGTATCATCTTCTTTCTTTTCTTCTAACATTCTTTTCTTCATTATACTTTGTATCAGTAAAAATTGCAATGTATTAATGTTTATTTTTGAAATACTTGCATATCATCCCTTTCTTCTTCTTCCTACCTTGTTTCAGAGGCAATATGCACTCCAATAGAAAAATTTCCTTTTCTTTTTGTCCACATAACGTGAGTAAAAGTGTTATTAAATACCAATAACTTTTCCGTAACATTTTGGCTGTAGTTTTTTTGGAATATCATAAAAAGACAGAACTAAGCACAAGTGGGTTATGTTCACCTCAAGAGAACTACTCACATTCAATTTTAATCTGGATTACAAACACAATGAAAAGTTATAATTCAACAATATAGTTTGTCTCTAAATATAGTTAACTGTATCAGTACATCCCAAGATTAGCTTAACAATAACCCACAACCTTCGGACCAACTAGTACATCCCAAGATTAAAGTATGAGTAGTTTGATAAATGGAGAGCTAAAGAACACATTATAGCCAAAATTTAGAAAGTGAACTATAATTCAAATAGGTAATTTTGCATATATAAATAAGTAGAAATTACTTAAATATAAATAGCATAGCAAATACAAAGCTATTTTCATGTTCTTTCATACAGGCCACAGAAAAACCACCTAAATAATCTGTTGACAACAAAGAGATTATTAAGGTACTAGAGGCCCAGTGCATGAAATTTGTGCGCTGGTAGAGCCCCTAGCGGCTACCAGCTGGGTACTCCCTCCTCCCCCTCAGTCGCCACCAGCCGGGGCCTCCATTCCTTCCCCTATCCAGCCTCACCCCTGGTCAAACTCCTAGACGAACTTCTGGTCAAGGAGACAATTCCACCCTATGAAAGGATGGATACATGACACACAGCTCACCCATGAAAAAATTTGAACACATCATTTCCACTGAAAAAAAGGTGACTTGGCATGGTCTATGTGTGTTTCCTTCATTCAATTGGTTTGAAGTTTGTCAGGTAATATTGTAAAAATTGGTCTTCTTGTTTATATTCTTGCTACCCTCCCTCAAATTGTTTTTCTACAAACCAGCAATATTTAAAAAAAAAATTGTGTTGCTTGTTAAAAATCTTTCATATATTTCCCATTATATTGAGAATAAAATAAACTCCTTACACCATGATTTAAATGGCTTTTGACTATTTCCAAAGTGTTTTCTGGAGCTAACTAGTACATCCAATATGATACATTCTTTCAAGTCTCAGGACCTTTCCACAAGCTGTTTACAGTTGCTTGCAATGATCTTTAACTTGTTACTTAGGTAATTCTTTTTCTTCTTAGCTTAAACAATGCTTTATCAAACACACTGCTTTCTTAAAAATAATTCATTAATCTTTGGCTCTAGATGTCTTTTTTGCTTACCCAAGTATCCCCAACATCATGCACAAATGGCCAATGAAGTTTTTATTCAATGAATAAATATAAAAACAACATAATTCTAGTGTCATTTAAAGAACTGGAGCTTTTTAAAGGCTTTAAATTAGGGGTGTCGAACTCAATCAGAGAAGGGGCCAAATTCTAAAATCCAGCCTAAATTGCGGGCCGAATGGTTTACTGAACAGTCATAAACTGTCATTGTGATGGAAACGCAGCGGAGTGCAGTGATGACAGCGCGGTGCGGGCCACATTGCAAGGCCTGGCGGGACAGATTTGGCCCGCGGGCCTTGTGTTTAACACACGTGCTTTAATAGTTTTGTTTTGCCGAAACCGGTTTGGCTCAGTGGATAGTGTGTCGACCTGGGAACTGAAAGGTCCCAGGTTCGATTCCGGTCAAGGGCATGTACCTTGGTTGCGGGCACATCCTCAATAGGGAATGTGCAAGAGGCAGCTGATCGATGTTTCTAACTCTCTATCCCTCTCTCTTCCTTTCTCTAAAACAATAAATATATTAAATAAATAAATAAAATAGTTTTGTTTTTTTGTTAATCCTCACCCAAGGATATTTTTCCCACTGATTTTTAGAGTGGAAGAGAGGGAGAGAAAAAGAGAAATGACGATGTGAGACACACTGACTGGTGGCCTCCCTGCCCCCCAACTATGCACTCATGACTGGGAATCAAACCCTCAACTCTTTGGTTCTCACTCCAATGCTTATCCACTCAACCACATAGGCCAGGGCTAAAATAGTTAGGTGACAGAAGCAAACAAGAACATTAATAGGTGTTAATATAAAAGTATTTCCAAATTTGCCTCATAATAAAATGTAAAGAGGTGAACAATATTGAATACACTTTTAAATCAAGCCTAAACTAGGGCTGTGACAATGGAAATGAACATAGAAAAGAGGATGAATATAACATGTACTTCAAAGGAAGAACTAATGCACTAACTTGAAAATTCTGTGATTCTATATTTTGAACAATTTAATTAATCCAACTTCTGAGAATTTATTTTCATGAAATCAAAAGTATGAAGATCAGTGTTATTAAGATTGTTTGAACTGCAGTTATTCTTAACTAGGGGCCCAGTGCATGAAATTTGTGCATTCGGGGGGCGGAGGGTGGGTGTGAGAGGGAGATATCCACTGACATCCTTAATGCTGTCACAGAAGTGGGAGAGGTTCCCACCACTACTGCTTTGATCGCCAGCTTTGAGCCCAGCTTGACTCCAGGGGGAAGCTACTGTATTGAGCATCTGCCCCTGGTGGTCAGAGTGCGTCATAGTGACCAGTTATTCTGCCATTCAGTTGATTTGCATATTAGTCTTTTATTATCTACTAGTAGACTGGTGCATGAAATTCGTGCACATTAAAAGGGAATTAGATGAAATATTTTAATGTTGCTATGTGCCCTTTCTCTAGAATAGATGTGTCAAAGATGGAAAAAAAAAATCAGTAAAATGTATATGAAAATCTCCCTCCTGTCAGAGTCTGGAGCATGCCGCAGGACCCAGAGTCAAGTCCTTGTACACATCTCGAAATCAAGCAAGACCCAGACCTGGCCGGCCCCACCCCCATTAAGCCCCACAAGGCAGAGAGGTGCAGCCTCAGGCCCCTGGCCCAGCAATTGGGCAGGGGGCACAACCTCAGGGCCCAAGCCCCAGCACCGGGGCAGGGAGCATAGCCTCAGGTCCCCTGGCCCCAGTGCAAGAGCATGATGACCATCTGCATATTAGCTCTTTATTATATAGGATACTAATAAAAGGGTAATATGCTAATTAGACTGATCGACTGGCCATCTTCTGGTTGTCCAACTTCCTTCCAGACAAAGCCATGGTGGTGGAAGCCAAGGCAGAGGCAGTTAGGGGCAATCAGGCTGGCAGGGGAGTGCAGTTGGGGGCATCAGGCAGGGGAGTGGTTAGGAGCCAGTGGTCTTGGATTGCAAGAGGGAATATCTGACTGCCGGAAGCGGGCTGAGGGACACACTCCCCACTCATGCACAATTTCGTGCACTGGGCCTTTAGTATAGGATAATAAACATTTAGATCAGTGGGGGAAAGGGAGTAAATAAAGCATTGCTAAACGTATTGTAATATTACTGTATGTTAGGTTACAGCTTCCTAATGCTGTATTTTGTAAATTGTAAAATTCAAAAATTACGCTATTCTATTAAAATACTGATTTTTATGAGTATGAGGGGGGAAAAAATTAAGGAAAAAAACCCATAAAAGTAGAACAGAAAGAATTTTCAATCACTGTGCTCTTCAGATGATATATAACTTGTCAATTCAACTTTAATTCTTTTGAAATCATTGTTAGAATGTGCTTTTATCTTACCTGTTCTTTCTTCTAACTTGGCATACTTTGGAGTATTACACATGTTACACTCTGATCTTCTTGCCCAATTCACATTACTGCAACTTTAGAAGTTAAAAATACCAAGTTAGTAGATAATTACAGGAAAAATAGTAAATTTTTAAACATTCTAGAATTTTAAAGTAAAAACTAGGATGAAATAACTACCATAATTTACTAAGAATATTGCAAACAAGGAAAATGTACCATTGGTCTTTTTTTCTGAGAGAATGTGGATTCTAATTATTTAAGCAAAGAAGCAAAAGCAATATAGTATGGTGCCTTTCTCAATTCATGAAAAAGAAATGATATTATATTTAGAGATTCTGATACTTTAGGGGGAAAACATTTTAAGTCAAAGATTCTACTAATTTCTGCCTCTGAATTCACCTCAAAGAAGGGTAATTTTTTTCCTTTTTGAGGAGTCAGTTCAAGTACTGAATTCCAAACCCAGTCTTAATCTGTTGCTGGAAAATTCTTCAGCACAAATAAATATCTATAGGATCAGAAATTTATATAAGACCCCCTTTTCTGATGAAATCCTTTTATATATTTGATTCATGTGCACAACACAAAGAAAAAGGAAATTGGAAAAATCAATATAGAACTTAAATATATTAAAAAATCTATCTAATTAGAAATAATTATTATGGTACACACTATTCTAAAATTACTTTGAAAACAGGCAAAATAAATTTTGTGGTGCATGTCACATTAATAATAATTTTTGAGATTTTTCAGTAATATAAGTAGACTTTTTTGGAATGTCAGCTCACTTTAAAGCATGTTTATTGGTATACATATCCTATCCTTGTAACAACTAGTATCACCATTAAAAAATAGAATTTAATAGTTCTTTACACTTATATATAAGATATAGACTGAATAACAATAACAGACCTTTGATTTAAAGGTGACCTTGGCTTGTTAATGTGACTAATAAGAGTTGGTAACATTAACAAGTAATGAGATATATTTTTATGGAAGAAGAGTGGATGATAATAAACACATACGTTTTACACTGCCAGTCATTAGCACTAAATAGACCTCGGCTCTTTTCTGCAAGTGTCTTTCCTATTTCAGTGCCCCCTGCTTTCATCATCTTAGCCTCAGTTGTTTTCTCTGAAAATAGAAAAATTATGCAATATGAATCTGGGGAAATAATGAAATTATCTGTATATACTGTCCTAATAAAAGCTTCCTATGCTTACCCCGGCCACATCTATTACAGCTGGTTCTTCTGGCAAAGTTTACATTTCCACATCTGAAAATAAAATGAAAAATATTTAGATAATTTTAAATCAATATAATTTTTTAAAATTCTATATACACAACTTTCAAACGTGTCCTCCCTCACAATATACCTGGATCCAGAAATTCTAATGCCATCTAAGTCCATTCTAAAGCCATGTAATTAATATATTTTTTTAAAGTCTCAATTTAGTGGGAAAATGTACGATTTAAAGTCACAAGTGCAGGATAAGAAACTCAGTATCTCACTTTCTACTTATGTAATCCTGGTAAGTCACTTAGGATCTCTATGACTCAGTGTCCTGTTAGTGCATGTCATTACAATTTTGCACCAAATAACATTTTGGTCAGCAATGAACAGCACATACAACAGTGGTTCCATAAGATTATAATGGAGTTGAAAAATTCCTATTGCTTAGTGACTTCTTACTGCAACCCAAGTGGTGATGCTGGAGTAAACAAAACTACTACACTGCCAGTAGTATAAAAGTTCAGCACAGCCGAAACCGGTTTGGCTCAGTGGATAGAGCGTCGGTCTGCGGACTGAAAGGTCCCAGGTTCGATTCCAGTCAAGGGCATGTACATTGGTTGCGGGCACATCCCCGGTAGGGGGTGTGCAGGAGGCAGCTGGTCGATGTTTCTCTCTCATCGATGTTTCTAGCTCTCTATCCATTTTCCTTCCTCTCTGTAAAAAAATCAATAATATATATATATATATATATATATAAAGTTCAGCAGTCATTTATAGTACATAATACTTGATAATGACAATAAATGACTATGTTACTGGTTGATTTAATCTTGTGTTTTTTCGTGTTCTAACATGCTATATAGGCTTGTAGCCCAAGAGCAATGGGCTATATATATCATATAGCCTCGGTGTGTAGTAAGTAGGCTATACTACCTAGGTTTGTGTACATGAACTCTGTATTTGCACAATGACAAAATGGCCTAATGACATTTCTCTGAACATTGTCCTGCGGTTAAGTTACATATAACTGGATTTTTTAAAATTGATTTTTAAAGAGGGAGGATGAGAGGGGGAGGGGGGAAAGAGAGGAGGCAGCAGAGAGAAAAGTATTGATTTGAGGGAGATATATCTACCGGATGCCTCTCCTACATGCCCAACCCTGGGGATCAGACCTAAAACCCAGGTATGGCAGAGTTTGGACCTGGAAGCAAATTGTGAACAGGATGAAGCACCAACCCACTGAGCCAGGCAATATAACTGTAATTTTAATAAAATCCCCTTGCAAAGCTGAGGTAAGATATGGCTCCACTTACAATTACTGACAAGGTACCTGGGAGTTCCAAAAAACTTTAAAGTAATTCTCAATACAGAAAATAAGATATACACACACAAATGTATTAAGTATTATAAGAAACACAAAATCCTAAGGGTATGCCAATGGAGAGAAAATAAATAAATCAGAGGGCTTCATGGATCTTGATAAAAACACTCTTTTTACAAGTAGAGGGTAGGACAGTAAGGAAAGGTAGATAGATGGGATTCTTACTAAAAACTATACATATGTTCAATAATTATAAGGAAATGTGAGGTTTTTTTTATTACCAAACCTCTGAAAGCTAACTTTAAAAAATTATAATCACAACCAATAACCTCAACACATAGATTTAAAAAAATATATATTTTATTGATTCTTTACAGAGAGGAAGAGAGAGGGACAGAGTCAGAAACATCGATGAGAATCATCAATCAGCTGCCTCTTGCACACCCCCTACTGGGGATGTGCCCAAAACCAAGGTACATGCCCTTGACCGGAATCGAACCCGGGACCTTTCAGTCCACAGACTGAAGCTCTATCCACTGCTCTATCCACTGAGCCAAACCGGTTTCGGCTCAACACATAGATTTAATACTATCACTTTACACTTATCTATAATAATAAAAGGGTAATATGCTAACTAGACAGGATGTCCTTCCTGAGGAAGCCAGGGCCCTAGGGAAGCCAGCCCTAGCCCCAGGTGCCAGCAGATGGGGGGAAGGCCTAATCTTGCACAGATTTTCATGTATCAGGCCTCTAGTAGTTTATAAACTTAAATAAAAACAAAAAATATATTGGATTCACTAACATGGCCTGAATAGTGCATGTGCATATCAGTAACAGAATGTTAAATGTCTGACATGTAAAACTTAAATAATTTTAAAAACCGTTTTTTTGGGGTTTTTTTTTTTTTTTCTATTATACTGCAATAAAATAAAGATGTAAAGTATGGCATCATCTCTATACCAAAGCATCCAAATAACTTTTTCGTTCCCCTCCCAACGCCCAAGAATATCTGTTCTGACCCAAACACATTCTAAAGTGTTCCCTGGATTTATATAGATTGTTGAAATAATATTCTAGCCACATGTCTATAAGTGAGAGACCTCCTTAAATATCTGGGTGTGTCGCATTAATGAGGCTACCAAAAGCACTTTATTCTACTAGTGACCAACACCACAAGAGAGACATTGTTGATTACCCTTTGAATGTTTTCAAATAGACTTATCTGTAGGAGTAATGCTATTCATAGCACATCACTCCTATTCTTGTTCTAGATCGTCAAGCAGACTTGAAATTCTTCAGGTTATCTTAATTTTTATGCAATTGCCCTTTTTAAAAAAATACTTTTTCATCGTATTCTATTTGTTCAACATCTTGCTTGGGAGACTCACTGATGATTTTTCATGTAAATTTAGATCCTCTATTTACACAGTATAACATTCCACTGTATAAATGTACCAATATTTATTTCAATTATAGATTAACCTTTGGGTTACTTATAGATAGTATAGCTATGAATATTATGCAATTGAGAACCATCAACTTATTATGTAAAAACCATAATGTTTCACTGAAACTGCTTCAAGTATGAAGAGAAAACAAATGCTGATTAAATAAGGCCTTAATCTCCTTGAGTGACATCAGGTGGCTTAATTTCCTAAAACTACCACCAATAGCTGTCCATCAGTATTTGCTACACGTCACTGCTATTTACTACACCCACTATGTTATTTCATGTATTTATTGTTCAGGAAGCCGTTCCATTCCAGCTTTTACTTTTAACTGAAATTAAATAACCTACTTGAGGTCAGTTACACGGTTAACGGAGCAGTAGGGCTGACATTAAACCCAGGTCTGTGTGCTTCCAAGTGTTTCCTCTTTCCCACCATGAACTTTTTGTCTGTAGCACAAGAAATCAAAGGTCTGTATTCGGACATGAGCTGTGCTTTTGACCATGACTTTGGACCATGACTTTCCACAGTACCCTCCGTCTATTTACACACAGATACCCCTATCCCAGGGCCCTGTGGTGAAAACCACCATGTGTCTGATGGGGCACAATGACTTCAGCAACAACGTCAAAGGCAGAGCCATCGCAACACGTGCTTCCCTGCGGCAGGCCTTCCCCGGGGCAGAAGCACAGGCCTCAGGCCTTTGGGCTCGAAAGGCTTAATTCTTGTGGGAGAAATAAAAGGGGAAAAAAAGTCAGAATGCTCCACACCACAGAAGGGTAGTGCTGTTATTGTGTATTTGGTGTTTTTTTTTTGGAAGGGGGGGAGGTTATACATGCGCTACGAAGAAACGTTTAAATTTTTTTTTTTTTTAAATCCAAAAAGGTGAACTGTGAGAAGCCAAAGAGCGAGAGGCTTTCCACGACCCAAAGTTCTGCGGGGAAAGTCACGTGAGGGGAGCCCGCACCGAGCGGGCCTCGCCGACGGCGGCTTCCGGACCGCGGATACCTGGCCGCGGCGGGACCGGGGAGGGGGTGGGGGGACACGGGGCGGCCAGCCTCGCCCTCCAACAAGAGGGGAGGGGACGTGGAGACCTCAGGGCGAGGAGAGGCTGGAGAGATGGTCCCGAAAGCCCCTCCTCGTGAGGAGCCGGGGAGCCTCCTTCCCGCCCAGGAGCCCGCGATTCGCCGCCTCATCCCGGCTGAAGGCAGCGCGGGGACCGTGAAAAAAGGGGGGAAACGCGGAGCCGGTCTGAGGAAGACGTCACCGATAAGCCGCGCTCCCACGCGGGGCCCCTAGCTGGACTCACTTTTTGTCAGGGCAGATCCAGTCGCCGTCACTGACTCGGAAATTCTTGGTCGACATCTTGGACGCCGCCAGCCACCAGCACAGCCACCCGCAGCTACGTCTTCACCGGGAGGAAAACGCGCCGGGGGCCTTGGGCTCGCCGGGGCTGCCCGCGCGCCGCCTGACTCCGCCCCACGGCCGCCGCGGCAGGGTTTGATGATGGGGGCGCTCTGCCGGGGTTGAATTTAAATGTTATTGTCCAGGGTATGATGCCTGTGCGATTTTTTCCCCCCGGCCCAAAAGAGTTATAACGCAAATGTAGTCTCTGGAGCTAAACTAGCAGGCGCCGCAGGGACACCCCAGGCGGGAGACCTCTAGGCCCTGGAAGCCTTGGAGAGCCCCCTATAGGCGGGAGGACCCAACAGCACAGGACGTAGCTCAGGTGGGCGGAGCCACGTAGGCCGAGGCAGAGGGATGGCATTCAGCCTGGGGCTTGGGATAGCTGGTTGCTCAGGCTTCTCAAAGGGTCAGGAAGAGTGTGTTGCCCAAGTTTTTGGGACACTTATTTTAATAAAGGTTGAAAATGTTATTCTATTATGCACATACCATGTCGTTTAGAAAATTATTGTTTTTTGATACATAAATACAGATAAGCAGCGTACACATGGAAATGGACCATTAATTTTTAAACAAGCATATTGCCAAAATTAAAAAAATATATATATTTTTTTACTGTTTTGGTTGGCAAAACTATTCAGGATTCACATGTACGACTCAATAACGCCATCTGCCCACTGCATTGTGGGCCCATAGCCCTAGGCAGTCTCTTTCCTCTCATTCTCCCCACCTTTGCCCACCTCCACCTAACCCCGACCCCCCCACTTTTCTCTGACTATCATCACACTGTTGTCTGTGTCTATGTGTGTGTATAGATAGACAGATAGATGATAGGTAGATAGATTAGATAGACAGATAGATAGATGATAGATTGCTTGAGATCATATGGTATTTGTCTTTCTCTGATTGGCTTATTCTTTTCCATCCCCTTTTTTTCCTCCAGAGGTAACACTCTTCCGTATTTTGGCTTTATTCTTTTGCTTTTGAAAGTTTAGTTTATGACATGTATATTTACTTTGATGAACGATTGAGCTTTATAAGGTAATCAGATGTTAATTTTTTCTCTCTCTCAACAATATGATCCTAAATTCATCCCAGATTGTTGCATATACTTGCTTGTAGCAGTTGTTTCTTTGCTGTATGCTAGTAATATTCCTTTGTGTGACAGTTCAGCTCTTCTTTGCCCAGGTTTGTTATTACAAATAATGCTGGTGTAAACATTCTTATGTATAGATTAGGACACATAAATGTAAAAACGTTTTTAGAGCATAGCATATGCCTGAAAGAGAATGTTTTCAACTATTTTATAGTTATAACTACTTTAAAGTCTATTTTTGATCATTGTAACATTTTGGTCATCTAGCAGTTGACAGCTTTTGATTTTATTTTTCTTTTAGAATCGATCATATTTTTTAATTCCATGTAGATTGTGTAATTGAGGTTTTTATCCTGGACAACTTGAATGTTAGGTTGCATCAGCTCTGAGTCCTGTTAAAAGCCTTTGGGGAATGCTGGTTTATTTTATTTTATTTTATTTTATTTTATTTTATTTTATTTTAAGAAGCAATCAATCCAATTTGATTCAGATTAGAAATTCAGTCTCACCTTCTGTGGGTGCCAGTTCAGTGTCAGTTTTCAGAGGCTTTGCTTTGTTTTGAGTCTGTCCTATACATACTAGCACAACACTCAGGCATTATTTTGGAACTTAAGCAGTAGTTGAAATTGTAGTTTAGTTCACATATCTTTTGCTATGCATCTTTATGTCCTGCAGGTGTTCAATTTAGGGTGAACACAGAACTTATGTGGTTCCACACAGAGAATTATGGGTCCCCTTTTCCTGGCCCTTTTGCCAGGAAAATTAGAGGTTTCTCTTGGAGTTTCAGCTGCCTACATAGCTACAGAAGCTGACTAAGGTCCACACTTGGCAAAGAGGTGGGAAAAGGGAGGGGAAATTATATTACCTCTATACGCTTCAGTCCACAGGGGCCCACTTTCCCACCTCTCTTGTCTAGAAAGATAGGGTTTCTTTTGGTGTTGGAACTGTCCTATCCCAGGCCTTACCTCCTAGGTAAAAGCCCAGAGGGGGAAAAAATGGAGAAAAAGCCAGGAATTTCCCACAAACTTTGGCTCACAGAAGCTCCCTTCCACCATTCAACTGGCTAGAAATATGTTGGGGGTTTTTATTGTTTCTCAGATTTTCTGCCTGTGCTGCCATCAGTTTCAGTAGATGCCAGGGCTCAGGTCAAAGCTGTAAGAGAAAACAGGAAGAAACATAAACAAACAAACAAACAAAAAAATGGGGCATTTCTCCCAAGTTTTGATTCTTCCCAACCTGTCTGTTTTTTGTATTCTCTTCAAAGTCCTAGGTATTTCCTTTTTGTATTTTGTCTTGAGCTTTCAGTTGTAACAATAGGAAAGCTAGACTGCAGTAGTCTTACTGCATTTTGGCTGGAGTTACTTACCAATACATATCCATCGGCATGATTAAATGGAAAATTCAGACAATACCAAGTATTGGAGAGAGTATGGAGAAACTAAAATTCTAGCACACTGCTAGTGGAAGTGTCAAATGATACATATGTTTTGGAAAATATTTGCCAGAATTTATTAAATTTGAATATATGCAAACCTGGAATTCCACTCCTAAATACACTCCTAATAGAAATGCACATAAGTTCAACAAAAATGTGTGTAATAATGTTAATCACTGCACTATTCACAATAGCCACAAATTAGAAGTTTCCAAATGCTTATGAATAAATAAACCTGGTAAATAAATGGTTATATAGTCACACAGTGGAATACTATATACAACAATGAGAATAAACAAATTGTAACCACATTGAACATCTATATGTGACTCATAAACACAATATTTAATTGAAAAAGCCAGTCAAACTAGTACCATATTTTCCGGCGTATAAGACGACCCCCTAATTTTACAGTTAAAACATAGGTTTAGGCCTATATTCGCTGTATAAGACTACCTCCCACTTCCGAGGCAACACCAGTTCTTTTTTTAATAGACCGCCTCTCTAACTCAGCCAATCCAAGCAGGCTTTTTATGCATGCAAATTATACATGTTCTGTACCTGAAGCTACACTGTGTTCTAGTAAAAAGCCTGCTCAGATTGGCCAGAGTCAGAGAGGCGGTCTATTAAAAAAAGAACTGGTGTTGCCTCGGAAGTGGGGGGTAGTCTTATACAGCGAATATAGGCCTAAACCTATGTTTTAACTGTAAAATTAGGGGGTCGTCTTATACACCGGAAAATACGGTACATACTTTATGATTCCATGTACGTATGTGAAGTCCAAAACAGCTAAAACTAATCTATGATAATGTTTACTATGGAGTGGGGAGGACATAGTGACTAGAAGGTCCTAATAATATTCTTTGTCATTAGGACCTGTGAGGTCCTAATAATATTTTTTGTCATAATCTGGTTCTTAGCCTTCTAAAAATTCATTGAGCTGTACACTGTTAACCTAAAATAAAGGCCAAAGTGAGAAGCAACAAGTGTTTATTTGAGATCAAAGGATAGCTAATTGTAAAGCACTATTTCAGGCAGAAACTCAGATAGTGTTCTGATTATGGGGTGAAGGCAAGGAGGTTTTATAAGAAGAGGAAAGGGAAAATTACATGGACAAAAGGGTGAAATTTCTATTTGTGCTAAAGCTAAGTTATTCTTTAGCTGTACATAGCTATTTACTGGTTCTAAAGAATGTCTTTTATTATAACTAATCAGGAGGTCTGCTTTCCTGTTACTTTTACAAACAGTTGTTGGGAAGACAGTGGCTCAGTCCAAAGGTGATTTTGCCCACTTCAAACTTTCCAAAGGTTCAAGAAATAAGGTGTGCAATGCAGTTCCTCTGGAATGGCTGCCCAGACTCGTTAAAATACTTTTTACAACACTTATGATTTGACTATTATTTTCAACTTCAATAAGAAGTTTAAAAAAACAAATACTTAAATATACCCATCTCATCATATCACACCTATCTTCTCATTCAACAAATACTTGCTAAATATTATACCAACTTCAGGGCAAAGGCAGTAATCCCAGGCCCTCTTGTGACCTGAGTATCGTTCGTACCTGGGTCCCTTCTGACTCTAAAGGCGAGTGAGGTTTCTTACAAAGAGGTTGTGATGTTGCATCCGCCCAGGGCTCCTTGCCTATCTTCACCATCACCATCGGTAATGTGCACGGAATGCAGGGCTGCAGTCAACAGGAAAAGGGTCACATTGTACCAATGCAGCGAAGACATTGCACCATGTCTTCTCTTGAACTTACACAGTTCAAGAGAAGACATAGTTGGAAGATGTGTTGTTTTATGTTAATGCTTTGCATGCTGTACGTATATGCTATAAAATTCTAAATGATAAATTTAACATGACCACAAAAGAGATTAGTTCTTTTACATTTTCCTTCATTCTCTGGGTAAGACTTCCATTTGTGATCACACCAACAAAGCACATTAACAACATTAGAGAATCATTGGTAGCCACTATTGATGGGCAGCACTATGGATGTTGCCAGGAGATGAGTAATAATGTAATTAGCATTAAATTAATGGCATTAGGGAACTGCAGAGGCGAGAAGATCTATACTGTTTCAATTAAAAATGTTCCAAAAAAAATTTTTTTCCCCAAAGAGCCATAGCATTGTGAATAATCACAGTGTTGCTACATTTTTCCCTTGCAGTGGGATATATGAAATTAGCTGGGAATGGTATCTTTAACCATCAACAACACATAGAAATGGATCCTGGAGACCAAGGAAATGTTTCTTGTGCACTAATGAGACATCTATGTTACTACCTTTTTCTTGCCCCCAAACTTACCAATACATCACATGGGCCCATGCTTTTTGTTAATTACTTTTATAAACAAATTATTGCTATAGATAGCTTTTATCCTGCCCACCCTAAAATATTTCTCCCAGGACCTTGTATATCCTAGAGGCAACTCTGGACAGAAGATAGTGTTACTAAAACATCCATGGTTTTGTGTCTCTTCCATTCAAGAGATTCTGAACAAATCTTGTAGCTCCCACTTTATATTTCC